ACAACGATGCTGTCACATCTCAACGCAGATGATGCCCCAAAATCAGTATATTCTACCCTGTGCTATCTTATCCTTTACCCGCTAACCATCTCATGGTCCACTCACCGCTGATAGTCGGTTGTAAGCTACACGCTATAGGCGTCGATGAAATCAGACGTGGGACCAGGAAGATGCCACTTCCCCCTAAACTATTTGCAGCACGTGAACGAAATCTAACCTTTCCAGCTATGGTCTGCGAGCGCAAGACTTGACCCGAAAAGTAGTACAAATGACTGGATAGCCAGATAGCCTATTAGATACTTTAGCAATAAAGTTCAAGTACCAAAAGTCAAGTATCCATGGTTATACACCATTCTATATATCATTTTTGACTGCATATTATAACAGCTTCTCACCACAATTACTGCCACCACTGGTAGTGATACTGGACACGAACAGAGAAAGTCCACATAAAGAGCGGGAACTAGGGTGAGCATGCCCTGTGTCCTTAGAGAATAAGGTCCCCTAACCTTTGTACAAACTCTTCAGAGTACCATGTCAGAGTAAAGCGGTATCATAGGAGGCGGTCCAGCGTTCGTAGCGAATAGGCAGTTTAGTTTGGTAGCTCAGCTAAGAAGTGACAGAGTACGCGCACCACTGGGGCCAGTGACATGCCTTCCTGACAGCCAAGTAGGCAGCAGTCGGGCAAGCGCAAACGCCTTACAGTATTCATCTTGTTTTGGCCACTTCCACCTCATGTCCATATCGCGGTCTGTCCCGCAAAATCTTGGAACGGAAAAGTGCGCTTCTTTGACAGACTGGTGGGCGTGTACAACACGCCATGTTTACCTACATCTAATAAGTTTTGTTTCGTTCATCATTTCGGTGCCTAGCTGCCACGCCACTCGAAGGAAGCATGAGGGCTGGGATATCGCCAGGTCACCCAAGCCTAAACAGGGGAAGTCGAAATGCAGAGGTCGGTCTCGGACGACGGACCTTGCGGTAAATTCGCGCTATTACCACTGAGCCATCTCGCCGCGTAAGTTGTTTGCTGCTTTAACGACTCTGGTTCGCCACAACGTACCCGATTATGCACCACGCCGTTGTGTACATGCTGCTACGACCTTGCTGCTGATCATAAATGGACAGCAGACATTTGAGATATGCTTGAAGCCAGCTAATCGCTGTAAATTGGGCATGCCAGTGCTCAAACATTTAGAACCCTTGAGCGAGAGTGGCCCAGCTTCACAATCATGAAGCATTCTTACAGTTGCCTGGCATACATGGTCTAAAAAATACCCCCAAAATTTTGTGAATAACAAGTTATATGTAACAGATTTTCGGTTGTACGGTAGTATAGCTGGGAACCTATGAGACTTACGAAACCTGGTGTGCCAAATGGATGTCTGTGTTCCAAATCACTTTCATGATCAAAGAGACGAACGCTACGTCAAGTAACTGCTGACGAAAACCCTTTTGACATGGAGTATGCATGCAACATAGCCCCCACCCTCGAACGGGAAGTGAATCCGTAGGTGTTTCTAGATGAACTGACCAAAGCTGTCCCGTTCTTTACACCCACAAGGCGTAGAGTCATGCTTAGATGTGCAGTCACTGAACAAGCCACTTACGATCCGAGGCAAGTAACGTTTTGCGTATCTTGGAAGTGGCATGATTTCCGACTATAGCGTCAAAAATAAAGTCAACGCACGAATCTCTGAAATTCGGTTTGCTAATAAGGGGCATCCATGGCTGCAAAGTGATATATAATCAATTTCAATACACGCGCGTATCAAACTACAATACGCGAACCCTGCGAGTAGCGGAACCGAGACATCTTCGTCTCAGAACAAGGGATAGAGTCGTACTGTCCACCGCGATACGAGTGTAAAGGCAATGAGGCGACCACCATGTCCATATTCGTGGAAGGAGCGATGCTGACTTGCCACGAAAAAGAACGGGTTCGAAAACGCCAGTCCTATAAAACGCATACTCCAATGACCCTATGGTTAACCGTGACTGCAGGCGCATTATTCCATACGGTCGAAATATTCTCAGAATCAGAGTCCGGTACTGCTCAAAAGACAACTGCTGCGTGCAGTCACATCAGGAGTGAAACAGTAACGCCTTACTTACCACAACCTCGGGTAAAGCAAACCTTTTGCAGCCTAGCAGGTCCGGCTATTGAACCAGCGGTCAAGGGCAGGGTCGTCAAAGGAAACTCTGCTCTCCGCTGCCTCGCGGGTTAGACTGTCCGCCTATATCCCTTCCTAACCCCTTTTAACCACACGAGCAAACGATGCAGAATCACCTGACTGTCAGTTAGCTGACGAATAGGCATTACGCACTCTACTGCCTACCAAATCACGCCAGACATACCTTTAATTATTGGATCCCCTACGGTTACTTGATCCGCGTCTTCAATCACCGAGAGATGATACGTATGACGATGCACATTTAGTCTTGAGACAGGAAACCGTGAGTTGAAGCCGAAGTGGAGACTGTTATCGCATCAAAAGATTTCCGAATGCCGTCTCACGTCCAACAAGCTCAATGCTACAAGACGGCAAAACAACTAGCGGGATACAAAACACATTCATGTCCAACCTAATTAGGTTAGCATGGAGTTCAGCTGGACATTTTCTGTTAGTTACACCGACCACCAACATCGCTGCCACCGTATCATAGGGCAAACATCTTAACCAAGTGCTGTGCAACCCCCAAATGAAAATAGGACTAACCAGGAACTCTTACACTAAAGCGCCGTAGAGCCCTGGGCCCCGCCAGCTTTGCTCAGGCAGTGGGGTTGAAATCTTGCTTTTCTACAGTTCGACGAGAAAGCATGTCCAGTGCTCCTACCAACAGCCCACGGTTGTCCTAATTTCCAAGTATCGCAGAATGCGTGTTTAAACAGCTGAGGGAACAGTCTTATTTCCGCTGCTCCGCAACTGCTACCTACTGAGTGATCGAGGTCCGAGCTTACGGATGAAAATCGCGGTAGTGTTCCCCAAGCTTGTCTCACATGGCCTTCCCTGTTTACCCGATTTACGTAAGTCGTTCGAATGCTGCACTGTAGAAAATTGATGCAGTAACTCTTGAGTTACCGGACAGCACACATTGGGTATGCCGATGATACCGACATGGTTAAGTGCTCGCATTATCGTCGTACAAGAAATTTAGAACCAATTAGCGATCGGTGCCCGACTATCGGATGCTCTTCGCACTATCCGTAAGTAGTCGTTTCTCAGGACTGTCAAGGGATGGTTCCTATGATCACATTAGATGGTGACGCCATGGAAGCAGCCGACCGTTCCGTATACTTGGCGGAGGGAGAAAAGGTCTCCCTACTGAGGCATTTGCCAATTTAGGAAACTTTCGAGACCGTGATAAAAATTAAGATAATTGCTTACAATACAATTTTCCGCGTGGTACTACTATGTAGCTCAGGAACTTAAGCAACCCTTGCTGGTGATTACACTTTGATATTCACCCATGGTAATGCTCACGCCTGGCAGCGAAACTACGTGCCTAACGAAGTGCATCGTAAAGAAACTGGCTGCATATCCCAAGGCACTACAAACTCGCTATAGCGATTACGTTGGTAGGAATGCCAGTAAAACGTCCGCGTACTGTGCGCCTGCTCGGTCTGGCTAGAAGAGACAAAGCCATCAATCAATGGCGCGGGTAAGTACTCAACCAATACACGAGAGAATTAGGGTCGTACGCGCTGCCCGGATGGAACCTAAGTCCGAGATTTGCTTCGAGATAAAGTGGATTTAGTCGGAGGCTTGCACTCAGACACATCGCTTTCCAAATAGATGCACAATGTCGAACGAAAGACTCACATGAGCAGCAGGGTAAACAAAACATTTAGAGTGTGAACTTGACAACCATGTCCTTGGGAATCCTAAAAACTGGAGGCTGAGTCTCACATCGAACTTTCTTGACCTGTGTTAGAAAAGTTACCGCATCATTGCACGAAGCCCAGAGACCCGATTCACCTCTGCAAGTTCGCAGCACTCGTGAACTGAGGCGTCTTAATAAATACGATAAAACACAGTACCCTCTTTTAAGTGACAGGCTATGAGATAGACGGGATTCGACAAGACATCGAGAATACTAAACAATATTCATGTTGTTACGTCCGGCCTCCTGGAACCTTTATTTTCTTTGGTTGGCGAGTTCAGAGACACGGCATCAGATCAATGCGACTGGGTTGTGTTCCTACCAGCCTGTGTGGATGAGCACGTGGAGGTAACCACACTGGCCACTCCTGCGTCTACATTGGAATCTTACTAGGAAGAAATAGATGGTTGTACCACAACGAAGCGGAATTGCAGTCACCGAAAACAACCCTATACGACCACATGAAGTGCCCCTAGCCAATCTGGAAGAAATGTAGTGAACCAAAGGCTAAATTTTCGTACCCTAGCTAGCGGCATCTGCCAGACCATGCGCTGCTTGTCGATTGTTTCTGGCATTACCACAATGAAAAGTTAAACTCACTGTTCACAGCCTGACCCAATACTCCGTTTCGTTACTCGACGCTGGACATTGCGGGCAGTAATCGACTGACTGAAAAAGGTTGCCCTCAGCACCCAAAACGCCAGGCTATGAATATGCATTCTACTACACTGGTTTGGCTATGAATATTCCATAAAATAACAAGAAGTTTCCGCAACTGACCGATTGTCGTGGTACAACAAAACTGGTCTCAATTTTAAGCGACTACAAAACAGGAAATATGTGGTGTGCGGTACTTAGTCACCGAATGATGAGCCAGAGGACCAATAAATGGATATTTCGAACGCACCATCACCTGGCATATCTACAATCTTCTATAAGCTGCATAAAACCCACGTCAGGACTGCGATACATAGCTAGTCTCCAGCGGAAACGTCATTTAAACAAACGGTAAGGGCCGACTATTCTGCCACTAATCCAAAACGGTTGGATCCAAATCTTTATCAATAAGACCAGAAAATCAAACCCACTCATCCGTGTATTTAAGGGTACAAGATTTAAGCGATTAGCGTAGAAGCTGTAGCACTGTCGTACTTCCAGTTAGGGGGAAGAACCCGACAGGTTTTGTAGTACCGTGCTAACCTATGAATCCGACTTTCCACCAAAATCAGGCGAAACTTGGAGTCCTTGTCCTTACGGTTACGTCCCAAATGCTTTCTAATTGCCACCGCCTTCTTCACAAGCTGGTACAGGTCCTCCGGGATGCTTGGAGCCAGACCTTTCGACTTCAAGATTCGTAGAATTTTATTTCCAGCAAGCCAGCGAACCTGAGCAACACCGTGGCTATCACGCAGGATCACACCTGTGAACACATTAGCATCAATGAAGGTATTTACCAATTTGTGAGGGAGGCAGGCCTTTACGAGCAAGCTTGTATATGTGCTCCTTCACCTCGTCAGCAGACATCTTTTGCCATGACGGTACAGACCGCCTGTATGGCAAAGCACTCTTCGAAATACCCTTCCCAGCACTGTGCATTCGACCCATCTTCACGCTGCTCAAGAAAATTCAAACGAAGCGCCAGGCAGTCCTGAACGACTAAAACATTTTAAATTAGCTAGCCTACTGATAGCATGCTCAGTCAGCAGACTGCACACTTTCTGGATACTGGCTGCTAAAAATTATCCTTTGACTGCTCTAGGAATGTAATACTTTAATTTTTCGTACATCAGCGCGTCTTTCTAAATCCGTTGGGTCATGGATTGCATCCATGCGCAATCATGCGTCTTACGGGGTAATCCTCATACTCTTTGGTTAACATTTCAACGGCCCTAGAATTCGAAATATGTGCCGGGCTGAATGGATGTTTATAGTTGACCCTTTTCAACCCTGCTTAAATCGTCTTGGGGTGGTATCTGATAGAACTTTGCTTAGAGAACCACCCAACTGGTGCAATTGTTTCAGACTTTATTCTTTGCGGCAGGTGGACCTTTCCTGCTTGTGGCGTATGCCGTCGTTCATCTTGGGCAAGTTGAGGTTGATTAGTCGGTGTAATCTCGATAGTAAGAGTGAGTACTCTGAGCAACATGAAGTAAGCGGTTATTCCCTGGCTCTAACACGTTTTAGTCCATATACGCTTTGTTAACCGCCCATAGGGTGGTGGGAAACGTTGGATGCAGTGCTCATTGATTTAGTTTATTTATATCTCGGTATCCCATATTTGCAACCACGGATTGCTCGGTTTCCGTGAATCAGCATTTTCTTCATCCTGTCTTGGGAGATTGTCATCGACTCTTATTTACGGAAAGTCGCTTTTCCTGGTGCTTGCATAGACTACTTGGTACACAGAGCACAATGGCTCACCAATCGAGTGTAACATCAGGAGGATCAACGAGGTGCACAATTTTGTTAGCCGAAGTCTAGTGATCTCCTATGTCTAACACTCTCCTCAAATTTATTCATTACAGCCCGGCTCGGATCATTTAAGATTGCGAGCAGTGTGTAACCAACATGCCCTTAGCGCATGACAAATTTGAAAGCGAAGCACGAGGGGAGCTTAGTAAGTGCCAATGGGCTATGTTACCAGCGTCTAATCATTATAGAGATCACGACGGCCGAGCACGCACAGCGAGTGATATGTGCGTAAATATAAGCTGCTTAAGAACGTCCCACACGAAACTGGAGAACGATGCCAATATTTTGTTACCTACGCAAGCCTGCCTTCAGCACAAGGCCTGTACGCCTTGATTGCCACGTCGCTGGCTTTTCCAGGAAATGTTCATAATAATAATGCGTACTCCCAACAGGCGTGTGGCATACCACCAGGCATGGGCGCTCAGTATTTGCACAATGGAATTGAATTAGCAAAACCTACGATGCGTCCCTAATGGATTAAAGCTATCGGGAAATTGAGTTCAGTGTATCACTCCAAACGTTTGAGTCCCATTCAGGCATCCCGGGGTCTCAGCGATGCTAGGAAATTATTCCACCGGACTTTTACACCAGAGGTATGATCGCTTCAGTGTATAATGAAATGTGGTGAGCTGTTAAAATATGAAGGTAGATTGAATGGGTTTTGGTTTCAGCACATCCGCAACAAAATGCAACACTTTGGCGCAAACGTTTTGCTTCACTCGTAAAGTTTTTTCAGCCAAGAACATTGCGCGGTAAAATGATTAAATGATCAAATGAGACAGAGAGTGGGGTGCAATCGTACTCAGTAGACTAGCTATTAAAGGTGGTCAAACTTGACAGTATATTCTAATATAGCACAGGGGACCTGGAGCACACTGGTGCAGGTGCACAGAGAGGTAGTTTGGTAATGGTAACCATACAAATAAAAACGGACAGAAGTCGAACCCCCGAGATGATGGGCTAGTTTACATGGTTTTTATCACGTGATTTGGACAGTACCGTAACCCAGGAGAGAAAGTGAATGTGGTAAAAATGGTCACCAGCCCCGTAGCACCGCTATAAGCTTCAATAACAAGTGGTGCATGGGAAAAAACTTTTGGGCACTAGCCTTGTATGCTGGTAGTGAAGGGTTAGGAATCTCATTGTATATATAATATAAGGAAAGCCAGCCATTAGTGGCTGAAATTCTTCAAATAGATCTATGGAACCCCGGCCCAGTAGTCACGGTCGACCATAAAGCATGCAACCAGCCCCTCCTCGTTAGAGCCACCGTTGGCGAGTCACTGATCTGTCAATAGTCGATACGGACGCTTCGCGAAAAATGACTCGATGTATGCGGATCCAATAAAACCAAAAAGCCAGAGGGGTTGCTGATGGTCGTGACCGAGTACCCCGGGATCAGATGTATCCGCGACTTCAACGTTGTCCAGTGACGTGCATATATGGTACTGTTGGGTTTCAAAGCGCTGGCAGCACAGTGGGTGGAAGTAAATTTCCAGCTTCGTTTGCTACATACCCCGAGTGGTTGAACACCTAGTGGAGTTGAAAATTGAATTCCCACCCACCAAGACTCATGGATGATATCCTAGAATCCTTTGGTAGTTCAAATTAGATTAGCACCTAGAAAGTGGCCTCTGGATACTTACAAGTTGAAACAGAAATGCAAGGCAGCAAGGAGATGCCGTTTGCTCTCCCGACGGGACGCTATGAATTCTACAGTCGCAACGAGGCACCCACAACTTTCTAACGGCCGATGCAACTCCCCTTGGTGACCTGGTCATTGACTACCGTTTAGTCTACGTTGACGATATCAACGTTCTGCTTGAGATTCAATGCTGTTTTATGTGATGCAAGGTTCTTGGAGAACATCGCGTCAGTAAAGCATGTACTGTTGAGACCCTAAAAACAGCGAGTTTACAGTTAGCATGAACCGAAAGCAGTGGAGAAAGTATGCAGTCTCCAGTAAGCAGTGTCATATAGCCTTAGGTTCTCCTAAACTTCGCCAAAATTGTGGCGATGAATCGTCAGAATAAGGGAAGGAATTTGAGTGAAGAGAGTAAAAACGATACGTATTATGTGCATCACGATTTGAAAGGCACGTTTGCCGTAATGAAATCATTGATACAGTCTCTATAATCTGTCCATAAAGTCAATTGTGGAACGGAAGGGATTTATTTCGACCGACAAAGCCCACCAGCCCAGGACACGAATGACTGCACTGAAGAAGAGCTGGGTGCTGCACTAGTCGTAGATGCCGAGATTGAATTCCAAAGGATTAGCAAGGCGCCGCGTATGCACCCAAAAACGGGGGTGGCGCAAATCGGCTCTCATCCTATTGTGTTTTCATTTGCCTACACAGTTTGGCAACGCCTTGTGTTCCAGTGCTAAATTCCCTACTTAAGCTGTCACAGTGATCGCCATTGACGTGGCTCTTGTACATACTTCTATGGTATCCTTCTCTAATCTACGCTGCAACAAGGAGATTAGTACCCTCCCACTACACTGAGTGCATTCAAAAACGAAAAGTCAGAACTCTGAAATTTAGACCCAAGTGTCTTCAAATCAATCACATTCAGTCTAAAGTTTTAAGCAGCGGAAGGAACTTAAACAGTGACAGTGATAAAATGCATTATTGGGAAACACGCTTATGGAACTTAGCAGATTATGGTGGCGTAAATGTTTTTTCACACTGTACGCTAACGCTCAAGTCGATGACGTTTGCAGGTTATCCAGAAGAAACTAATGGAACCATTTACTTAATGCAGGTGTATTCGCCATGTCACAAAGAAAAAATAATGAGGGCAGCTCAGCACAACGTACCGCACGGCGGACCACAGTGAGGTTCAATCCAAATAACTCGATTCGGAGAATCGCGGTAGCTGTGTGTTTACTGGGGAACAACATTGTATTTTATAGGTAAACGCTACCTAAACTATTGAGATTTAGATCGTCTGGAAACTTTCTAAGTTGGCTTTACTCAGTTAACCAAACGGACATACTGTTTATCCACCGGTAAAGTATCTACCCAGTGGTGGTGAATTTTTGAAGGTGTATTTGTGGAGTGAGGAACAGATTGTTCCTGTCTAATGGAAGGACATTAGCCAGTAAACTAGCGATTACCATCGAGTCAAGGCGCATACCTCGATACTACCTAATCGCCTTTTATACCGAGTTCTCGCCTAATAATTTTTTCACCGCTAATCCTAATGGCACACGGTGAAGTAAAGGCGAAAAATTTTTGCCGTTGGAGAGAGCAATTTTACAGACTAACATTCTTCGCTCTAGATGAATACCGCATGAAATAACCTCCCTTCCGTCCACGCTGCATCAAGACCTTGCTGAAATCATTATTAAATACTTTTTATGTGAGTCCTCCTCCTGCAGAAACTTCATGAGCACTGTCACCTGTGGGTTTCGGGTGAAACAGCGCCGCTGGACGACAGGACCAAAACTGACCCCGGAAGTTAGAAGAAACACCTCAGTCCTGTGAGTCGGTTCAAGACTGGTTTATGGATAGCAAAACATAGAATAACGCCACTTACTGCAGGTAATTACGATGTACCTATTCTTGCATGCCACCCTGCACTATCCAAACTCCGATTGATGCGGTACATACAAAACCATGCCAGAACCCAGTTTAATATCCGTATGCCATGGCATACTTTTGATGCGGGTGTGGTCTTAAACCAAAACCCGCTGTGGCATGGCGTTTTGCAAAGTTCGGTAAGTGTCAAGCCATACAGAATTGAGCAACTTCAGCATCCGCGGAGTCTTTTCAATCAGAATGGCCAATGAGTAGAGGTAGGATAAACACGGTATCCTGGAAACGGGTTATGGTATCTGGTTGCCTTAAAAAGGTAAACTAGTCCTCTGGCATTACGCTTACCGCTTCTGCCTTCCGATCTGAGTTTGAAGTCGGTCTTTATATGGGCAAGTTTATCTTTCTTTTGTTTAACTTTGGCACATTTACAACGTCTCAGTCCACAAACTTCAGTGAAGTCCAACAGGAGATGTACCTTCATGCCACATCGGATACCATGAGGTGACACCCGTGGTGTCGCGATATCCACTACATACAACAGGGTGGATAAGCGAAAACATGTGGCTGCTGACTTTTGTTTTTTGCGGTGCTA